TTGATTTGCATCTCTCCAATGACTACTGACTTTGAGCATGTTTTTATATGTCTCTTGGTCTTCTGTATGTCCTCTTTCAAAAAGTGTCTATTTAGGTCCTTTGCCCACTTTTTGATTGGATTGTTTATGGTATCTTCCTTTTGTTAAATTGGATGGGTTCCCAGTAAATTTTGAAGATTAAACCCGTATCTAAAATAGCATTGGCAAATAGGTTCTCCCATGAAGTGGGGTTTCTTGTTTTTGAACTCTGGCATCAAAGTAGGTACCCTACCTAATAAAAGAGTAATATGCAAATTAACCATCACTCTATCACAACCACAAACCACACCCATCAGCCAATCAGATTAAGTATGCAAATTAACCCCAACCAACATCACTGCAGCCACAGAGAGCAGTTGAGAGGTTTGGGTTTCCCCAGCAATAGAAGAAGCCAAGCTTTTCACACACCTTGGCCAGCCTAGGCCTCCACTCAAGGATACAAAGTTTCAATTATAGAAGATAAATCCTAAGAAAAATGGCGGCAGCCACTGAGCTGGAGAGAACAGGCTAGGGTTGCCCCCAGCAACAGAGGAAGCCAAGTTTTCCACCTGCCCTGGCTGGCCTAGGCCTCCACTCCCGGCTACAAAGTTTCAATTATAGAAGGTAAAGAAATCCAAACAGAAATTGTGGCTGTCACAGAGTGAGCAGGAGGCTTGAATCCGCTCTAGGCTACAAATTTTCAAGGCAAGTAAATTCCAGCTACCAGGGCCTCCGCTTGGGTTGCCGGGGGGCATGTCTGACCTGCAAACCACTACAGGCCCCTTGCCAGGCCACCTCACACCCCAAGGGAACCCCCACCCTAGTTAGGGAGACTTTTCAGCGCAAACCAGCTTGCCCCCACCCATGCACCAGGCCTCTATTCTATCTAATAAAAGAGTAATATGCAGATTGACCATCACTCCAACACACAAGATGGCTGCCCCCATGTGGTCAAAGATCCTGCCCCCATGTGGACACAAGATGGGCACCACAAGATGTCCACAGGGAAGGCCAGTTGGGAGGCACCAGGCCTGCAGGGGAGGGCAGTTGAGAGGGACCAGGAAGGGCAGTTGGAGGTGATCAACCCTGTAGGGGAGGGCAGTTAGGTGTGACTAGGAAGGCAGAGGAGGGAAGTCGGGGGCAAACAGGCTGGCATGGGAGTGGTTAGGGGGTGATCAGGAAGGCAGGCAGGCAAGCAGTTGGGAGTCAGCAGTCCTGGATTGTGAGAGGGATGCCCACCGGGATCGGGTCTAAGTGGGCAGTTGGACATCCCTTGAGGGGTCCCAGATTGGAGAGGGTGCAGGCTGGGTTGAGGGACACCCCCTCCACCCCATGCATGAATTTCATGCACTGGGCCTCTAGAGTGTGTGTGTGTGTGTGTGTGTGTGTGTGTGTGTGTGTGTGTGTATATATATATATATATATATATATATATATATATATATAAAACCCTAATATGCAAATAGACCAAATGGCAGACCAAAACAAACAACTGTTTGTTATGATGTGTGCTGGCCACCAGAGGGGTGTGTGGAACATGTTGGGTATCAGCCACGGTGGGATGGTGGAGCAGGTGAGTAGGGGCGCCAGACCAAAGCAGGACGCAGGTCACTGTCATCGGAGCGAGCCTCTGGTGGTGACTGAAAATTCTTTGCTCTCGCACACCACAGTCCCGCCCAGCACTTGCATCTGCTGCCAGTCTTGCTTACACCCGCTGCTGGCACCTGACGCCAACCCTGATCATTTTGCACCATCAGCAGGTGCGAGCTGCTGGCCCCAGTCGCCACTCAGGGTTTCTCACCTCCCCATGCTCCTAAGGAGCAATCAGGGCCCGCAGTTGCCTCTAGCACCCGCTGCTGGCTACGGCCCCGCTCACACCCACTGCCAGTGCCAGCCCCTCTTGCACCTGCAGCCATGCCAAAGGTAATGCTTGCATCCACTGCCAGTGTCTGATGCTGATCCCAATCGCTTGGCACCAGCAGTGAATGCAAGCGGCGGCTTCCGACCCCAATTGTGCCTAAGGGCTTCTTCATCTCCCCCTGCTCCTGGAGGGCGATCAGGGCTGGCAGCCACCGTTTTCACTCACTGTTGGTGCCAGCCTCAATCACTCAGCATGTGGGAGTGGTGGCAGGAGCAGGGCTGCCAGCAGATGAGGGACCAGGGGCTTTGGTGGGAGGCTTTCGGGGGGTAGCGGAGGATGGGTGGAGACCTGCTCCTGTGCCCACTGTAGCTTCGCAGCCCACTGGATACCATTCCAAAGACATTTTCCCAAAAATTAGAATTAAGATTGAGAATTCCCAGTATCATAGTTGTTACTTAGTATGGCTCTCTGGAATTCCTGGCTGTTGCATTAAGAAATCAAATAATTATTAGAAAGAAGACAATTATTTATGGGTAATATGATTGTCACTTAGAAATTCCAAGAAAATAATTTGAAAGACTATTAAAACTAACAATTGAATTCAATGGTATGGCTGATTAAAAGGTAATGAAACCTCAATAGTTTTCTGTAATCCCAAGCATGACAATATGAAAATTATTAGAAAAGGGATATTTTTGTGGTTGACAACAAAATCTATAAACTATTATACCTAGCAATAAGCTTAACAAGAAATGTGTAGACTTACTGGGAGGGGAAGCTTACAATTTTACTGAACCAATTTAGTGAAAAAGAAGACTTGAAAAGGGGGAGAGAGATACTATGTTCCTGGATATTGTACTAGTAAATAAATCAATTCTTGAAAAATTTATTGTAAATTTAATGTAATTCTTCTATCAGAGCATTGAAGGAAATTAGAACTTATTGCTAGATTTATGAACATGACAGTTCATGAATGGAAGAATACAGATAGCCAAAAATCCCATGGAAAATGTTCATTTTCACTAGTAAGCTACTAAATAAGACAAGATTTTATTTATTTACTTGCTGGACTTCAGATACTCACATTGAGATTTATTTCAATAAGCTGTTTTAAAATACTAAATGATAAAGATTAAAAAAAACATTCAGAGTAGTCAATGTTATGGAAAAAGTGGCCACCTATATGATTCTGGAATATAAATAAATATTTCTGCACATTTCTTGTTAAGCTTAAGAGGGGATTTTTAAAATATAAATGAAAATCCTTAAGAATTTGCTTTACTCTTTAATACACTATTTCAACCTCCTGGAAGTTTATATTTTGAGGTAATAATCATGAATGTCTATAAAAATGTTATCTATACTATTATTGCAGTCCTATTTAATAAAGAGGGAATATGCTAATTGACTGCCCTGCCCTACAAGATTACGGCACCCACAGCCACAAGATGGCAGCACCCAGTCCCCTCAGCCCTGACAGAGCAGCAGGTGGGCCCGGCCGCTATGTGCACCTGTCTCCGGAGTTCCCCAGTCCCCTTAGTCCCCCCAGCCTCTCTGGGCTGGCCCCAGGCACAGGCAAGCCTTGAATGGTGGCTGCCTAGCTGCCCAGGGCTTGCACTGCCAGCTGTGGCAATAGCAGAGATGATGGGGCCATCGCCTTCCCCAGATCATCAAGTTGCCTCCCACCCCTGAGGGCTCCTGAACTGTGAGAGGGGGCAGGCCTCTAGTTAAAAAATAATGCAGTAAAAGAATATTAAATACCTGGGATGAAAGTCACAATATAGTGTGAATATGGACTACAGAATAGTACATAGAATATGATATGGCATTTGCTGGAAGATTCAGTTCACTTTGTAAGCCCTTGGTACTACAAAATTATGATTTACTCCATGTGGTAGTATTTGAAATTGCTTAAAAATAATTGAAAATAAGGATGTTAACTTTTTAAATGTACATAAATAAAGAAAAGACTAGGCAGACATAGAATGTTAGTAGTGGTTATCTCTAGGTAGTGGAATAATGGGTAACTTATTTTCTTATGTTTCTAAGTTTTCTGCAGTGAGCCTGTTTATTTTTTCATAATTAGAAAATACTTAAATAAGTAAGATACATAATGAAAAAGCAAAGTCAGTAAAGTCAAAAGTCAGAGGTGAAAATATGTCCATTGGAACTCACTGGGAACTTTAGCAAAAACAGTTTAAATACAGTAGAACTGAAAAGGAAAAAGCCAGATTGCAAGCTAGTAAGTAAATGGGAGGTAAAGATAGTGATTCCACTTTCGGTCAGTGCTGTCAACAGAAATAAAATGTGAAGCACATTATTAATGAAACACTGTACATTCTTTTGTTGCATCTCATTTTAGACTAGTCATTTTTCAAATCTTCAATACCCACATGTAGTTAGTGGCTAAAATATTGTACAGGGAAAGTTGAAGCTATCTTGTTAAGAAAACAAAGCCAGAGAGAGAAAAAGAGCGATAGAAAGGAATAGTCTATTTCTGCAACAGAATTCTTTCTAGTACAATTTATTGCTTCTTTAAAAATGAGATATTTTATGTAATTCAAAAGAAATATATCCTATCTAATAAAAGAGTAATATGCAGATTGACCATCACTCCCAACACACAAGTTGGCCGCCCCCATGTCGTCCAAGATGTCTGCTCCCATGTAGATACAAGATGGCCACCACAAGATGGCCAGCAAGGGAGGGTACTTGAGAGGAACCAAGTCTCCAAGGAAGGACAGTTGGGGAATGGGGGGTGGGGAAACATCCTGCAGGGGAGGGCAGTTGGGGGGGACCAGGCCAGTAGGGGAGAGCAGTTAGAGGCAATCTGGCCAGCAGGGAAACAGGTGTTGTTTGGGCTGGCAGGGGAGTGGTTAGGATGTGATCAGGCTGTCAGGTAGGTGAGCCATTAGGGGCAATTAGTTGGACATCCCTTGACGGGTCTCAGATTGGAGAGGCTGCAGGCTGGGCTGAGGGACACACACCCCCTCCCCCACGTGCATGAATTTTGTGCACCGGGCCTCTACTATAAATAATAATACTTAAGAATATCTTGTGATCTTTGTGCCCCTCAGTTGCATTCTTTTCTCCTCCCCTCCTCCCCCCAACACACACACAGGTTTTGGTAAGAATAATTTGAGCCGTAGAGGAAGAATGATGCCTGGGAAGAGACGTTCTTATGGAGTTATCACTGGTCTTGCAGCTAGGAAAACAACTGGAATTCGAAAAGGAATTAGTCCTATGAATCGACCGCCTCTAAGTGATAAGGTAGGATGATGATGGCTTAATTCTGAGTCAGATAAATTAATGTTTTATTTCAATAAAAATGTACTTTTTTCTTACCTATGAATTAAAGAACTAAGTGGGAAAGATAACAAACTCATTTACATTACTACTAAATACTAGTAATGTAAATGAAAAGACTAGGCAGACATAGAATGTTAGTAGTGGTTATCTCTAGGTAGTGGAATAATGGGTAACTTATTTTCTTATGTTTCTAAGTTTTCTGCAGTGAGCCTGTTTATTTTTTCATAATTAGAAAATACTTAAATAAGTAAGATACATAATGAAAAAGCAAAGTCAGTAAAGTCAAAAGTCAGAGGTGAAAATATGTCCATTGGAACTCACTGGGAACTTTAGCAAAAACAGTTTAAATACAGTAGAACTGGCTATGCTAGGAGGGGCAGGGTTGTGTCTAAGAATGAATTTCCTTTTTGATTTTGAAATCAACTTAAAATATCTATCAAGAAGTAAAAATTGGCCCAGTCAGGATTCTTCTGTTGGGATATGGAATGTCAGTATCAATTCTATAATTTTATTTATTTATTTATTTATTTATTTATTTATTTATTAGCTTCAGAACTTCATAAAGCTGGGGGTATGTTTTGTAGAACTTTTAACTTCACTTGTAATTCTAAATCATTTAGTACTTCATGAAGTTAAAAAAAATTGTTGCACATTTCATGTACTTGTTTTTTGTGACATTGAATATTCTTTTTTTTCTTTTTTTTAATATATTTTATTGATTTTTTACAGAGAGGAAGGGAGAGAGATAGAGGGCTAGAAACATCGATGAGAGAGAGTCATCAATCAGCTGCCTCTTGCACACCCCCTACCGGGGATGTGCCCACAACCAAGATACATGCCCTTGACCCGGAATCAAACCCGGGACCTTTCAGTCCCCAAGCCGACGCTCTATCCATTGAGCCAAACCGGCTTCGGCACATTGAATATTCTTGATTTATTTTTTCTCTGTAACCATTTCTACTGAGGCTTCTTTGCTATTATATCTTCTTCTCCCCCCTCCTCCCCCCCGCACGTTTGTTTTGGAACTTGCCTCTCCTATCTCTTTACTTTACATTTAAAACCATGTTTATATAAATGATTCCCTAATTTACATCTCTGGCTCTCATTCTTCTTTTGAGCTCCAGATTCATGTTTCCCCATCACTGGTACATCCCCCAGCACTTCAAACTGAACAGATCCAAAATAGATAAAAGTTATTTTTCTGTCCAAATTCTCTATTTGTTGCAAGTACTTTGAATATAATGTGGTTGTCTTTTCAGTCACTTAAGACTGGAAATATTCAAGTTGTTGCAGCTTCTCTGTTTCTGGAAACCTGCACATTAAAGCAGTGGTCAATCCTTGTCCAATCTGCCTCAGAAATGTTTATTGTAATCGGATATAGAGTAAAAAACAATCTGATTAACATAGTTTCTTGCCTTTTGAAAGAATATAGAACGATATTTTCCAGCATTAAAAAGGAAGGCAAACTTTCTGAGACAAAATGAAGTGCAGAGAAAACCAGTTGCAGTTCTTAAGAGACCTAACCAGCTAAATAGAAAGTAAGTACTCAATTATAAGACAATAATGTTATCCTGCATAAATAAAGATATACTTCTTGCCTAAGTGTTTGAAGGAATGAATTTTCAGTGATTCTTAGAGTTACCTGGTCATTTTCAAGATAATTATTTGGGGTGGTTATCTGATCATCCAATATGGAAGCAAATAACTTTTCTTATTTCTTAGACACAGTTATTGATGATTAGGTAAGATTATGCAACATTTCAGCATTTATTTGTAAAAATAAATAAGTAGAACTCTGGCCAGTGTGGCACAGTTGAGGGAGGATTGTCCTGTGCACCAAAAGGTTTGATTTCTGGTCAGGGCACATGCCTGGGTTGTGGGCTTGATTTTCAGAAGAGGGTGTACAGGAGACAGCAGATTGATAATTCTTCTGCCTCCCTCTCTTTAAAAATCAGTTTTTCTAAAACATTTTTATTGATTTCAGAGAGGAACAAAGGGAGAGAAAGATAGAAATAGCAAGGATGAGAGAGCTCACTGATCGTCTGCCTCTTGCACTCTCCCCACTGGGGATTGACCCTGGAACCAGGGATGTGCCCTTGACTGGAACTGAACCTGGGATCCTTCAGTTCACAGGCCGGCACTGTGTCTACTGAACCACACCAGCCAGGGCTAAAAATCAATTCTTAACTATCTTTTTAAAAAAGATAAATTTAAAAATTTGTCTTCTATTTTACCAACTTTTTATAGAAACCACAAAGAGAGTACATTGTTTCACAAGCAGTGAAAGATAGAAGTTTCTCTGTGATTTATGTTAATATGTAAAAGTTTTTAAGTGAGAAGGGAAAACTGAAAAAGATGTTATTTTTCAAGATTTTCTTTCTTTTTTTAAAAAAAATATATATTTTATTGATTTTTCACAGAAAGGAAGAGAGAGGGATAGAGAGTTAGAAACATCTATGAGAATCATCGATCAGCTGCCTCTTGCACACCCCCTGCTGGGGATGTGCCTGCAACCAAGGTACATGCCCTTGACCGGAATCGAACCCGGGATCTTCCAGTACGCTCTATCCACTGAGCCAAACCGGTTTCGGCAAGATTTTCTTTTTAGCTCTAGCAGGTTTGGCTCAGTGGGCCTGTGAACTAGGTTTGATTCTGGTCAAGGTTACATGCACGGGTTATAAACTCAATCCCCAGTACGGGGCATACAGGAGGCAGCTGATCAATTATTCTCTCTCATCATTGATGTTTCTATCTCTCCCTCTTCCTCTCTGAAATCAATTAAAATATATATATTGAAAAAAATATTTTATTTTCAGTCACTTTGACTATGATGTGCCTAGGTGTGATTTTCTTTGTATTAACCCTGTAAATAAATCTTTCACCAAATTTTTTAATACATATTTTTATTGATTTCAAAGAGGAAGGGGGAGAGAGAGAGAGAGAGAGAGAGAGAGAGAGAGAGAGAGACACGCATCAATGATGAGAATCATTAATAGGCTGCCTCCTGCACACCCCCCGCTGGGATAGAACCCACAACCAGGGCATGTGCCCTCAACTGAAATCGAACCTGTGACCTCCTGATTCATAGGTTGATGCGCAACCAGTGAGCCAGCCAGACCAGAGGGAGATATTTGTAAATCAAATCTCAGTAGTTTCTGATAAATTCAGAGTCTTTATATTTAGTGTATTCTCACATTTTTAGGCAATGAATTAAACTGCTTTTGCTCATTGTTTTCTCAGGATATTTGAAAGTTGTTAAGTGGCTGAGACGATTCATGCATATGTGTTTTTATTGCAGAAATAACATCCCAACCAATTATCCCAGGAATGGAAATAAATTAAGTCATCAGAAAGACACTCGTCAAGCAACTTTTCTTTTCAGAAGAGGCCTGAAGGTATAAAAACCCTTAGTTGTGTTTTCTTTTTACCCAAACAAAGGATCCTGAACATCTATCTTTAGTAATCCTCATAGGGATGGCCCATTGTTGAAGTGTAAGGGTTGGGTCTGGATATGGAGAACATGACATTAGATTAGTTCCCTCCTGCCCCAATTCTCTTCTGTTGTCCTCAATAGCATCATCTATCTATAGTAATAAAAGGGTAACATGCAAATTGACTAAATGCCCAAACAGCAGAACAACCGTCCAGATGCCCATGCTATGACACTGGTGCGAGGCCAGCCAAGGTGGGTGCAATGCAATTGGTTGAGGGGGCTCTGCCATTGCCCCACAATTGCCCCACAGAAGGAAGCCCAGGCCACTGGCCAGGGAGCGATTGATCGGGGCAGGGAGGGCCTCCATGATCGGGGAGGCTCTGCAATTGATATCCCCAAAGAGGGAAGCCAGGCCACTGACCAGTGGGTGGGCAGGGCCTCCCTCTGGGATAATGGGTCTTGGGGCTCCTGGACTGCAAGAGGGCGCAGGCCTAATTGAGGAACACCCCCGAGTGCACGAATTTCGCACACCATGCCTCTAGACTTATAAGAATTTAACTTGTTATTTAGAAATAAATACTTGTTCTGAATCAGAACCCTACTTGTTCTGATGCAGAACCCTAACCAAGAGGTATTGCCAGAATAGTCATATGCCCCTCCTACATTCTACACATATCTTACTGGGTTATAAAGTTTGGAGGATAGCTCTTTGCACTCAAATACTCTGCTTTCTGTGGGACCTACTGCTTTTTTTCCCCTTCAGGTTCAGGCCCAGTTGAACACAGAACAACTGCTAGATGATGTAGTAGCAAAGAGAACTCGTCAGTAAGTTTCAATTTGTTTTTCAAGGTATCATTTCACAACTCCCAGAATACTAGCTACCCAAATTAAATGAGACCTAAAGTAAATTAACCATTGAACTTGAAATAAACCATTTTTTGCTCTTTTTCCTCCCAAAATCTTTTGTATTTTCACATGTCAGTGTATAAAAGTTTTAGCACTAAATACATTCCTCTATTTTTAATTTTTATTAACCTCCATTTTAATGAAACATCCCTTTTCTTTTTTTAAAAAAATATATTTTATTGATTTTTTACAGAGAGGAAGGGAGAGAGGTAGAGAGCTAGAAACATTGATGAGAGAGAAACATCGACCAGTTGCCTCTTGCACACCTCCTACCAAGGATGTGCCCGTAACCAGAATCGAACCTGGGACCTTTCAGTCCACAGACCGACGCTCTACCACTGAGCCAAACGGTTTCAGCCATTCCTTTATTTTCTATAACTGCTTTTATACAAATGAATCTATTCAGGGAATAAATAGAAGAAAATACAGTAGAGTTTTAAAATTTGTAAACACTTAAGAACAATAGAATATTTTCTTTTTTCACATATTCTTTTATCTCCCATTTACTCCTATTAAGGTTTAAAAAAAATTTTTTTTGGACAGAATTGCACTTCACAAGTATGATATACAACATTCTCGTTCTATCAATATGATCAAGTTTTGAGATTAAACTATTTAAAATTATAGCTACTTTTTAGAAAACAAAACATGGTAATGGTATGATGCCAACCAATATGGAGTATGATTTTGAGTATAGGAAAGGAAACTATTTCAACTTAATGTTGGCAGTATTCTTTTGCACAGGAGTCACAACATTGGTAACCATAAGGAAGAAAATAATCATAGATTATTTGCTTCTACATGAATAATATTTACATAATATAATATAAATACTGTTCATTTGTTTTGAACTTTGAGAATCAACCTGTGGAACTAAGCACAAAATTCTTAATTTGATAACATAATGTAAGTGTCAGATTCTGGTTAACATATATATAGAAGTAGAGCTGACAAAAAGTGGGAAAGGAGGTGGAAGGAAGGAGTAGAGGTACTACTATCATACTAAGTGGGGAAGGGAGGTTATCAAGCGATATTACTGAAAGAAAGATGTTTATGTATATTTAAAGCTATGATGGAAGTACAGTAGTGACATCTCCATCAAAATATTTAGAGTTAGGTACAGAAACTAAAGAATAGTGATGAGGGAACATATGTAAAACATCCAACAATAAAGATTTTAAAAAATAAATAGAACATGCTTATGCAAACTTTGTTAAAAAATATATATATATTACACAAGCATCTTGTTTAATGAACTGGAGGGAAGCAGCAAGCAGTAAAAACAGGAAAGATTAGAAGTACTGCCTGTAGGAACAAGAAGGGGGGAAATAGTGGGGTGAAAGACAGTTACTTTTCCTTAAAAACCTTTTTGTAGTTGAATTTTTAATGTGCATATATTTGTTACACTGAAAAATATTTAATAAAGCATCCAGTTCCTACACCCAGGAAGCTGTATTTTTAAAAGGTAAGAAAAAGTAACGGCTATATTCTAATGAAGTTTTTGGTATTTTGAAACTAGATGGCGGACTTCCACCACAAATGGAGGGATTTTAACTGTATCCATTGATAATCCTGGGGCAGTGCAGTGCCCAGTGTAAGTCTTTTCTTTATTTTGCAGAAATTATAATCTCTCAGTATATAAAATAATATAAAAGTACTGGATTCCTGCTCTCAGTGTGATGTGCAAGTTAGGATAAACTGAGACAAGGATGAAAGTAATACTTGATATACAAAATAGAAATAAAATAGTATAAAGTTAAAAGTAAAAGCGCCTTTGATTCCTGGTTTTACAGCCCCAAGATTACCATTCTTAACAATATTTTTATTTATTTTAATATATATCTTTTATTGATTTTTTACAGAGAGGAAGGGAGAGGGACAGAGTTATAATAGAAACATCAATGAGAGAGAAATATAGATAAGCCGCCTCCTGCACTCCCCCCACTGGAGATGTGCCCGCAACCAAGGCACATGCCCCTAACTGGAACTGAACCTGGGACTCTTCAGTCCACAGACTGATGCTCTATCCACTGAACCAAACCGGCTCTGGCAATATTTTTATTTTTTATTTTTTTATTTTATTTTATTTTTTTTTTAATATATTTTATTGATTTTGTACAGAGAGGAAGTGAGAGAGATAGAGAGTTAGAAACATCGATGAGAGAGAGTCATCGATCAGCTGCCTCCTGCACACCCCCTACTGGGGATATGCCCGCAACTAAGGTACATGCCCTTGACCAGAATCGAACCCGGGTCCCTTCAGTCCCCAAGCCGACGCTCTTTCCATTGAGCCAAACCGGTCTCGGCCAATATTTTTATTTTTAAAGTTTGGTGCATGGTCCTGACTGGTGTGGCTTAATTAGTTGAGTGCGTCATCTCATCCATCAAGAGGTCACTCCTTTGATTCCCAGTAGGGCACATGCCCAGGTTTCGGCTCAATTCCCAGTAAGGGGGCTTGTGTAGGAGGCAGCCTATTGATGTTTCTCTGTCATTGATGTGTCTCTCTGTCTGTCTGTCTCCCTCTCTCCAAAATCAATAAAAACATTTTAAATAAATAAATAAAAGTTTATAAAAAATGTTAGATACATCTATTTTAATGTATAATAGTAAATGAGATAATACTATACCTACTTGCTCCCTTCTCTCCCTTCTAGTATATTTTCAAGTACTTTTTTAAAAAACTACTTTTTTAAAAAAAGTTATAGTGTGTTCTTTTATCTAGTTAACCTTAATTTAGTTAACCATTCCATTATATTTATTGCATTATAAACTTTCTAAGTTTATGGAGTTTTTGCTCTATGTAGCCATTTTAAGACTAAAATGGAAGAAAGAATATAAGATAGGTCTTTAATAAGATTTCAGAGGTGGTTTTATTTTAGTAGAATCAAGACTTGGAAATCACCAATCATTCCAAATAGTTTAAAAGTTTATAGTTCTACTTAAAGAGGTAGTCTATGACTGACTATATATATTTTATTATCTAGATCAGTCAGTAAAAAAAATACCTTTTTTTTGTAAACACAAATAAAATAGTTACCTTAATATATTTGAACATGTGTACAAGTCAAAATGGCTTTATGTACTAAATGATTTTATTTTTCTTCTTTTGATTGTTAAGCTGACCTAATTTCATTTTAATCGTTTCCTAATAGAACTCAGAAACCACGATTAACTCATACTGCTGTACCCTCATTCTTGGCAAAACGGGAGCAATCTGATGTAAAGAAAGTCCCTAAAGGCGTTCCTCTGCAATTTGATATAAATAGTGTTGGAAAACAGGTAAATCCCCTCCCCCCCCCCCCCCCCCGTTATTTCTTTGGGCCATTCACTGATAATATTTTAGTGAACAAAACAAATGTTGTATAATGAATTAAATAGAGGGTCCTAAGTCTCTTCAACCTTAGGAATCCACTGATTTTTCTACTTCGGTCTTTATAGGCTTGCCTATTTTGGACATTTCATATGAATGGAATCATATAATGCACTAGAGGTTCAGTGCACGAAATTCATGCATGGTGTGGGGGTGTCCCTCAGCCAAGCCTGCACCCTCTCCAATCTGGGACTCCTTGGGGGATATCCGACTGCCAGTTTAGGCTTTCAGTATCTTGCTCGCTCTCTCCTTCTGGGACCCCCATAAATCTGATGTTGATTCGCTTGAAATTGTCCCAGAGGTTTCTTACATTATCTTCAACTTTCTGGATTCTCTTCTCTTCTTGCTTCTGCGGAGGAGTGTCCTTTGGCTATTTGTGTTCCAAATCTTAGACTTGATTCTTGCGATCTTCTATTCACACCTCTAGACCATGCCTGTTGCGGATTCCCGGTCCCCTGAGTCTCCAAGTGTGCCTTTCTCTCCAGTCCAGACTCCACCCGTATGAGCCTGGGTCTATGAGGTTTCGGCTGGGGCTAAGGTTCAGTGCAGTTGGGGGCTTCCTTTCCCTTCCCGCCACCCAGGCACTTGCCACCTTTCCTCTCTGCACGAGCGCACATCTCCCTACCTCAGCACTTTGCGGCTCCCCTGATCTGTGAGCCTCTCTCTTCTTTCTAGTTGTAGAATTTCCATTCACCTAGCTTTCCTGTGGTTTTGGATGATGTCGTTCTGTCTTTTAGTTGTTGTTTTGAAATTGTGCGAGGCAGCAGTTTAGGTGCTTACCTAGGCCACCATCTTGGTTTCTCCTCTCTCACGTGGTTTTGATAATTTTTGTAGTAACCTAGAATCTTGTGATCTTGCTTAAAATTTGCTTGTTTTTGTAATTTTGAGATTCCTTAGGGTTTTCTATGTTAACAGTTAGGTCATTCTCCAAACTCCTTTCTTGTCTTTAAACTTTTTCTTTTTCTTATTTGTTATAATAGCTAGCCTTCAGTACAATGTTGAATAGAAGTGGTGAGAGCATGTATGCTTGCCTTGTCCACAGGCTTGAGGAGAAAGCATTAAATGTTTCACCATTGAGTATAATGTTAGTAGTAGGTTTTTAGTTGATTCTGTGTATCCCATTTAGGGAATTCTTTTCTATTTGTAATTTCTGAGTGGATGTTGGATTTTGTCAAATGCTTTTTTTTATTCATAAAAAAAATTCTGTGGAATTGAAGGTATGAAGTATAGACAGAAATTTGACCAAATTTATTTTGCTTATTTTTTCAATGTTGTTACTTTCCTGGTAGGTATAATTTGGGTGTGCTTTTTGCTTTTAATCAAAAACCAGATTTTGATTTGATTTGAATTTATTTAAAAATTTTAAGAACTCATAAATTCAAGAAAATTTATTTCAAAATATTCACAAGACTAAACAACTACTTTTATCAGAGGCTTCACTAGAATTTATGGCAATGTTTGAAGAGCCTAAAAATAATTCAGATAGAGAAATCTTTGGGTGTACGACTTGTAGGCATTGTAGTATAGGTGTTTATGTATAATGTAGGCATTACAGTGGTTAGGAGATAGAGATTCTGAGTTAAACTTCCAGGTTTAAATTCTGGAACCTCCAAGTAAGCAAGTTAACTAACTTATCTAAATATCACTAAATTCACCTGTTTTGAATGATTTTTGTTAGAATTAGAATTCATACACATAAATATTCAGGAAATGCTACCTATTGTTACTATGAATTACCATAATTATCACATTATTCCAAAGTAAATATGGCTTACAGTCAAGTTGTTAATTTTTGTTTTGTTTTTTTCTAGACAGGGATGACTTTGAATGAGCGATTTGGAATCCTGAAGGAACAAAGATCCACTCTCACATTCAACAAAGGAGGAAGCCGCTTTGTAACCGTGGGATAGAACCCATGTTAAAGGGACTTTTGAATGATGACTCTGTTAAAAAAGTTGAATTGCTTGAAGAGTTTATCACAGAAATTCAAGAAACTTTATTTCAAAATATTCACAAGGCTAAATACTCTTTTTATTTTTGAAGTTTTTTTCAACATGTATAAATAATGCCCTGAAAGAATAACAGGGAATATGCCTACCTGTTGTTAAAGATTTCTTGGTTGAGCCAGATGGAACAATTCTCTAGTTGACTTCTTTGGTTCCTCATACAGCAGAAAGACAAAAATTATTTTTATGGGAGTGGTATTTAGGATCTCATCTCCTTTGCCCACTTTTTGTACTTTGCCATGGTAAATCTTGGTCTTCAGAAACATAAGTAGGTCCTTTTGTTGTTGTCCCTTATCCTTTAATAGTGTTGATGTAATAAGTGCAGTTGACCTCCTTCATAAGAGATATTTAAAAACTTAGAATTCTACTTTTGGGTTTTAAGATTTAAGGGAAGATTTGGAACTTGGTTCATTTTTCAGGTAGTGTTAGGCTAATGTTCCAGAGTTATAAATCTTTAAAGTTGAAATTTTAACAAGAAAGGTGACTCTAGCATAAGTCTCATTTTAAAATATTGCTCTTTGAAGGCAAAAATGCATGTTTACAACAATGCCTAATAGAGCCTTGGAGGAGAAAGACCATTATAAAAATCTGACAATTTTTGTAGGTAAATGAAGAAAGCATGAGAGGAAGTAGCAGGTTGAAGGCAGGTTACCGAGGTGAAAAACTTTAAAACCCAGGTCATAGATATACTGTTTGGATTTAGTGTAGTCTTGAATATAGTGTTCACAAAGAGTTTTTCAAGTGATATTTAGAAAAAATATAATTATTAAAGTGGATTGAGTCCCTTAGATATTTTGATGATAAAATTTAAAACTATGCTCTTCTTATTCAAAAAGTTAAATTTTATAGACATTAAACTTGCTAAATTAAACCGTATACAGCCCCCAAAACAAAAATATACTTGTATATGTCACAAAGAAAAAAATGCAAAATGATAATATAGTTATGTTGTAACCTTGCTTTATACCTTTCACTCTGGATTGCATAAAATTGAAGCATTTATGGTCAGAAAAATATTATTTCCCCCCACACTCTGCAGGGATAGGAGGAGTTAGTCAGTCAGTTGTGCCACCTAGTGCTAAGAGTCCTCAGATTGTTACAGTGTAATGCCAAAATGCAACAAAATATCCAGTTATAAATTTAGTCATTTTGAAACTTAATCTTTTGGTTTGATGTAATATTAAAGCTTCTAAGTAAATGTTAGTTTCCTTCCCTAGTGTGTATTATTAGTATTGGTTTTTCTGTTTAAAAACAAAACGTTAAGTTATGGCTCCTGCCTGCCTTGCATTGTATTCTATACTAGACTTCATCATTGTCTCCCATGCTCCTTGGGTTACTTGGTTTATGCTAGCCACGGAAAGCTCTCAGAAACAATTTCATGCTTCTACCAAAGAATTAAATCTGATCCTTAATATCTGGTATTTTGCCAGTAAGTCTACTGATAAGGGATTATTGGAAACCAGTTACACAATTTGAAAATAAACTTTAGTCTCTCCTTAGGCAAATGCCTCACTCATTGCAAAACATTTTTGCAAGGATAAATGCTTAGATTTGATTCATTAATAATACATTTTAGACTGGTTTAGAATTACCAGTAGTTTATTTTAAAGCCATGGATAAACAAATGAGCAGTTTGCTGTCTGTAGAACAGTTTGTGAAAATATGGTATAAAGATGTTTTCTTTTTCTTGTTATTTTAAATATTGTACAGAGCTATTAATGCATTTTTTGGGTAAACCTTAAAAATTGCCCCAAGTATTGACATTAAGTACAACAAACCACAACACAGTATTGTTGGTATATTAAACGTTTGTTCTTCATGCATCTGTAATTTCATTTTCTTTTTAAATATAAAATTTTGCTTTTGTTACTAAATTAAAATTCTTCAGTGCTAATGTGTTATATATAAACAAAAGAGTATGCTTTGTTGGAGGAAATTTTTCTTTCTTAGAATGTGGTTGATGTCATCCTTTTTCGGTTTTTAAAGTTTTATTTTTTAAATAAGATGCAACTTAAAATTTCCTTTGCATCAAGGTGTATGCAAAACATTGATGCAGTGCATCACAAAATGAAAGTTTATATTTAATGAGGAGATGCTTTACACTGTACTTTTTAGTGTTTTTTGGAAAAGTTACATTTAGATTTATTCTGAAGCTGTTCATTTTTAACAAATAAAATGTTTCAGGTCTCACATGATTTATTCTTAGCTGTAAAATTAAGTTGTGCTTTTTAGATTGTACTATGTAACAAAAAAACGGTAAGAATTATATTTATAATTTTTAGGGTTTAAAAAGCTACATGTCAAACTAAATTGGTAAACCAATCTAGATTCAATGCATTTCTGTAACTGCCTTTTAACCATTTTATTCATAGCTCCAACAGGAAGTAGCCAGGAGTTGAAATAGAAAATCAAATTGACTTAGAATGCAGACTATTAGGCTAAATGAGCCTATAGAGAGCATCCAGTTTAACTTCTCTATTTATATCTTAGTTAAGTGAGACACAGCTTTTCAAGACTTGTGCGTAGCAGTCACTTTTTGAGCTTAGATCTTTTAATTCTCAGTTTCTAATAAACTGCTTCTGTGAATTGAATACCCATAGAAAATAGTGGAATGGTGTGAGCTTGTCTGATATCTAAAAAGTGGTAACATTTTAGTATTTGTAGCATGATAAGTAAATCTAGTGATGATTTTGAAACTTCATTATTTTGGTATTCAAGTTATGTAGACGGACATATTAGGAAAAGTCAATGTTTCTAATCTATATAAAAAGGCACCTACTGTAACGACCATTAATGACCTAACAGCCGGTCATTATGACACCTACTGTGGCCGGTAAACCAGCCGAACATGGGGTGGGGCCAGCAGCCAACGTCATGGCCCCTACCCCCTGCTGGCCTGCCCCTGATTGGACTCTCCCACCTCAATCAAGAACCAGGCCTGCTGGCCAACTGCCCCTTCCCTTCTCCCCTGGCCAGCTGTGCCCCCATCAGTCTGCCCCACCATGATAGACCCACCCCTGATTGCACCTTCCACCCCAATAGGGGGCGGCATTGGGCAGCCAACCTCCTGCAACCCCTCATCCGGCCTTGCCCCGAAGGGCCCCTCCACCCCAATCGAGTAGGGCCAGCTGGCCCACCACCCTCAGGCCACTGGCCCCTGATCAGTACCCCCACCCACCCCATTAGGGGGTGGGCCAGCTGGCCCAGCACCCACAGCCCCTACACATGGTTGGCCACACTCCCAATCGGTCCCCCAACCCCAGTCAGGGGTAGGGCCCACCAGCCAATCGCTGTCAACCCCTTCCCCCAGCTGGCCTAGCCCTGACTGGGAGCCCTGATTGGGCCCTAATCCAGGCAGGACAGCTGGCCAATCTCCCACCATCTCCTCCTGACAGGTCCATCCCCCCATCCGCCTGATTGGGGCCAGCCGGACCCCACCTGTGCACAAATTCAAGTACTGGGCCTTTAGTTTTTTAATATGCATAAACTTGATCACAATTTTAATTATAAGTAAATCATAAAGTACTTCTGAATATGAAGAAAATAGGCTTCATTGTCCAGGGGTTATTTTTGTTATATCTATATCTCCTATATAATAAAAGGCTAATATGCAAATAGACTGAATGGCAGAACAACTGAAATAACCGAATAACTTGTCACTATGACATGTACTGGACACCAGGGGTAAGTGGGGAACATAGCAGGCTTCAGCTGGTGAGCAGGTGAGAGGGGGCACCAAACAAAGGTGGTATGCACTTTGCTGCCATCAGGGAGAGCCTCTGGTGGTTACTGAAAATTCTTTGCTCCTATGCACTGTGGTCCTGCCCAGTGCTTGCACTGGCTGCCGGCACCAGCCCTGGTTGCACCCGCAGTTGGTGCTGGAGCTGCTGCTGGCACCAGCCCCCAATTGCTCCATGCCTTCAGCAGGTATGATTGAGGCTGGCTCTGTCAGCCCATGGGAGTGCCAGTTGTGGGAGCTGGGCTGCTGGCAGACAGGGGACGGTGTGGGGAGGGAGCCTGTGGCAAGAGGTGCTGGGCAGGGTGGGAGGATGGCCTGAAACCCACCCCTGTGCCTACTGCAGCCTCATGGCCCACAGTTCCTTTCAAGGTGCATGAATTCGTGCACTGGGCCCCTCGTATGTATGTGTGTGTGTGTATCCTACCTAATAAAAGAGTAATATGCAAATTAACCACTCTGCTCCACAAGCCACACCCACCACCCAAGCCCACCAGCCAATCAGAGCGAGTATGCAAATTAACCCCAACCAAGATGACTACAGCCACAGAGGCTTGGGTTTCTCTGACAATGGAAGAAGCCAAGCTTTCCGCCTGCCCTTGCCAGCCTAAGCTTCCACTCAAGGCTACAAAGTTTCAATTATAGAAGGTAAATAAATTCAAACAAAGCAAGCAGGAGGGTTGGCTCCAACTCCAGACTACAAAGTTTCAATTGTAGAAAGTAAATATTGATATATCCCAGATACCTCTGCTTGGGTCACTGGGGGTGTGGCCAGCCCTCAAATCACCACAGGCCCCTTGCTCAGGCCACCCCATGCCCTAAGGGAACCCCCACCCTGATCTGGGACACCCTTCATGGCAAACCAGCTGGCCCCCATCCATGCACCAGGTCTCTATCCTATCTAATAAAAGAGTCATATGCAGATTGACCATCACTCCAACACACAAGATGGCTGCCCTCATGTGGTCAAAGATCTTGCCCCTGTGTGTACACAAGATGGCCAGCAGGGGAGGACAGTTGAGAGAAACCAGGCCTGCAAGGGGAGGGCAGTTAAGGGTGACCAGGCCAGCAGAGAAGGGAAGTTGGAGGCAAACAGGCTGGCAGGGGAATGGTTAGGGTGTGATCAGGCTAGCAGGCAATAGGAGCAATCAAGAAGGCAGGCAGGTGAGCAGTTGAGAGCCAGCAGTCTTGGATTGAGAAGGATGTCTGACTGCCCGTTTAGGCCTGATTGCACCAGCAGTCAGACATCCCTTGAGGGGTCCTAGATTGGAGAGGGTGCAGGCTGGGCTGAGGGACAACTCCCCTCCGCCCCCATGCACAAACTTTGTGCACCGGGTCTCTAGTGTGTGTGTGTGTTTGTGTGTGTGTATTGCTATCAATAGTTTTATAATTCACATAACATACACAGTGTAGGATAATTTTTGTTCTTATTTTTATTTCAGGAGAAAAAAAAATAACTGATTTTGTACTAAAGAGAATACTATATATTCTAAATGTAGGCAGTATTAAGATAGAAAATTATTTCATTTCCTCATTTCTGATCCTTTGACCTTTCATCAGAATTGGGTGTTTGTTTGTTTGTTTGTTTGTTTTTTCCACTGTAAAAAAATAAGCATTTGATTTAACCTTCCCTTTATGGAGGCCTCTTTTTGCATAAATCAATTTGGAATTTGAGTCTTTTTTAAAATGATATCAATAAGCCAAACCATTCACAACAATTTTGGAATATTGTGGACCATTAATAGGGATTTGGAGATTTGCTTATAAATTGTTGACTTCTAATGTCTCTTTTTACTCCATGCTATTACAGTTTACAATCTGAAATCTATAAAACATAAAGTTTGATCAAGTAATTCCTTGTTCTTAATGTATTCAGGTGAGGTTTGTGGTTGTTACAATATGAATAGGAAATTATTTCCTTAGTGTGCATCTATTTAATTTATATATCCATTTTCTTCTGGGGCGAAGGAAAATCATATTGTCTAAATTTTCTTGAATGAAATTTTAAAAAGTCAATTATTACCGCTTCTTATTAAATGAATCGGAAAGGGAAGGACCAAACATTGAGTATATTCAACAAGCCAGTTTCTGTGCTTTACATTTGAAGAGAGTGGATTTGCCAAGATGTTAACCCTACTGCTTTGAGTTTATCAAACTTAAAGGAGTAACCACAAAATATTTCTAATGAGTAGGAAGGGGGAAAGGACTTCATTTGTGCATGGTATAGTCAGATATAGAGCAGGAGAGAACTATTGAGATCTGAGTGAAATTTTTGCTCCTAACTTTCAGCCTGTAAAATAGGAAGAAGTAGGGAAGTTCTCTATATTCCCAATTTTCAATAACCCCCACTGCCTATTTTTTTCAGCTGCTTCCAGACTGCAGAGCAGAAGTGGAATAAATTACAGATCCCTGTAGCTCTTTTGTTCACAGACTTTTTGCAGCCATTTCTCATCACTTTTATTCATCACTAAACTGGTGAATTTCCCACAATGACTCCTTTTCCAGATGATCTTGTCACTTGCTTTATGGAGAAGATTGAAAGAGTAGAATGAGAATTCCCTCATATTCTACCTTTACTTTGTAAATGAAACCTCAAATCCTTCGAAGTCTCAAAATTCCTTAATCTATCGATATCTTCCAGCTTTCTTTACTTAGGACTTGTTCTCATAGAGTGGCAGATAAAGCATTTCAGTCCACAAGCCTTTCTTTTGGCCTTAAAATATTTATATACTTATGTATTCTGTTCTCAAAAATTGTAATTCTTTTCTTTCCTCCTAACCTCTCCTGTATTTGTATAAAACTTCTATTTTGTTAGTACACAACCCATCTTCTATCTCTGCTTCTTCCTATTTTTAACTCATTAACACATTGTGAATGGATCAGAGAATTCTTGCTTCATATTACACTGTTTTACAAAGTATCATAGTTTAAATAGATATTAGCTTGGCCAAAACTGGTTTGGCTCAGTAGTAGAAAGTCGGTCTGCGGACTGAAAGGTCCCAGGTTCGATTCCTGTCAGGGGCATGTACGTTGGTTGCGGGCACATCCCCGGTAGGGGGTGTGCAAGAGGCAGCTGGTCGATGTTTCTCTCTCATCGACATTTCTAGCTCTCTATCTCTCTCCCTTCCTCTCTGTAAAAAATCAATAAAATATATATTTTTTAAAAATTAGCTTGTAAGAACATGTAAAAAATAAATTCAAAATGCAATGGGTACTTAATTTTAAAGCGTGCCTTTAACATTTATGTAAAACGTTTTTTGTACTCGTTCAATAGAAACTTACCTGGCCAGTGGATAAAGATAGCAATAAAACTACTGGTCCGCAGGGCCCTTATACTCATACCTGGGTTATGGAAGATAATGGTAGATTTTCTTCTAATTGATGAATGGACAAGTAACATGAAACATAAATTTGGCCAGGAAATCAGAGACCATGATGAGCATGGAATGTTGCAATTATAATGAAATGTACAGGTAGATAGGAATGAGTCATCTTACAGAAAACTTGTCAGAAGACTTTTTTGTAAATGTGGAAGGCAATAAGTAATCAAATATAGATGACATAGCCGGGGCCGGTTTGGCTCAGTGGTAGAGCATCGGTCTGCGGACTGAAGGGTCCCGAGTTCGATTCCGGCCAGGGGCATGTGCATTGATTGCGGGCACATCCCCGGCAGGAGGTATGCAGGAGGCAGCTGGTCGATGTTTCTCTCTCATTGACGTTTCTAGCTCTCTATCTCTCTCCCTTCCTCTCTGTAAAAAAACAGTAAAATATATTTTAAAAAATATATAGATGACATAATGGTGCATTTTAGAAAGATCTGACAAGTACATTTATTGTGTAGCATTAGCATGGAATATATGATTATGCTTTTAGTCATTTTAGTTGGAATACTGTATCTTTAAAAAACAAAATGAGCTTGAAGTTTTTCTATGAGCAACAAAATTTTACGAATACCAGAATAATAGAAACCAATTCATCCATTGGATGTTATTTGCCAGGAATAACAAATATATCACTTGCCATTGCAATAACCCTTGCTCATAAAAAGGTAAGGTGATCACCCCAAACCGGTTTGGCTCAGTGAATAGAGCATCAGCCTGTGGACTGAAAGGTCCTGGGTTCTATTCCAGTCAAGGGCATGTACCTTGGTTACAGACACATCCCCAGTGGGGGGGTGTGCAAGCGGCAGCTGATCGATGTTTCTCTCCCATTGATGTTTCTAACTCTCTATCCCTCTCTCTGTCTCTCTTCCTCTCTGTAAAAAATCAATAAAATATATTAAAAAAAAAAAAAAAAAAAAGATAAGGTGACCAGACGTACTGCTTTTGGCAGGACAGTCCCGATTTTTACCAATTTGTTTTTCCAAAAATCAGGACTGTTTTAAAATGCCGCGGGATGCGGGACAAATTGTTAAAAATCGAGACGTCTGGTCACCTTAATAAAAGGGCATTGATAATTGAACATGAAATTTGTTGCTGAAGAATCTAACATGTAGTCTTGAGTTCATAGAACAATTTTGAGCAGCCCTTACTAATTATCTTTGGTAGTGTGTCTAAACACTTTTACAATCTCTTCTGATTAGGTTTAGGAGTCCGGGGAAGTGCTAATCAAGGTTTCATTAAAGAGTTGGGCCTTGAATGATGAGTAGGATCTCTCCAACCCTATTTTCTTTTGCTTCTGACATGAACTTTGGCCTGTGGCCTTAATGTTCTCCACACGTATCCATTATAAATTATATCTGGTTTTGTTCATGCTGATCCTCCCAATCTGGAATGTTGCTCTCGCCTTCCAGCCCATCTCAATCCCGATTTGATTCAAAACCTCACTAATTCATGATATAGATTCCTTTTCTCTGAATTCTGATAGGTTATCCACACTACCCCTATTCAGATATTTTTTCTTGTTCTCTAAATGGTCTCTTTGGAGTCTATAATTAGATTATAATATAGTAAAATGACTATCTGACAGCCTCTTCTACTTCCCACAGTAAATACTTGATTGATTGTTGGTGAAATTTACATCATCTGTCAGGAATGGCTTAAATGTACAAAAACACACACACACACACACACACACACACACACACACAAATCCCACAAAAACCCCTAACCCCCCAAACCAAATAATATACTAACCACTGCACTGTAAGTGAAATCTAATTGGTTTAAAATGTATTTTACATTTTTTCAAAACTAAATTGTGTGTGTGTGTGTGTGTGTGTGTGTGTGTGTGTGTTTTACCACTTTCTTTAGTTCTACCTTTGATTCCCACATTTAGTTTATGGTCAGATCATGTTCTCAATTTTGGTTTCAGACTGAAATTTTAGACTTTAATGCCTAAAGTTCTTCTTCTTGCCTGAAGGACGAGTACTAAAGATGCTTGTTTTATATTTGTTAACTATTTTATAAAAGCAAGGGAGGGCCTAAAATACTTATATAACCTTTTCAATGAGACCCTATAGAGTTTGGGAGCCAGTTTAGTCCTTATTTTTCCTCAGGCAGTAATAGTTACTAAATCCACAAGTTTCCATTTGCATCTATTTGATTTACCGAATGACAAGCTGGGAATTTTTTTTAGATCGCAACGTTTTCGGGGGTTGGAATTGAGGAAAGTGGGGGGACATGAGTAATGGGCGTCTAGATCAGAGTGCCCCGCATAGGCCTGCGGACTGAAAGGTCCCAGGTTCGATTCCAGTCAAGGGTATGTATTATACCTTGGTTGTGGGCACATCCCCTGTAGGGGGTGTGCAAGAGGCAGCTGGTCGATGTTTCTAACTCTCTATCCCTCTCTCCTCTCTGTAAAAAATCAATAAAACTTAATTTTAAAAAAAAGAAGGGAAAAAAGAAGCCTTAATGTAATGCTTAATTCAATCCTCCAGAACCGAGAGAAGAAGGCAGAGTGAGGTTTTTATAGAGGCATTTTAAAAATGCTCCCGGCGGCGGCTCCAGAGCTGTGTTTTCTTTTCCCTTTAACACCCGGGGGCGGGGGCGGAGGCCGAGGCCAGCGCCGGGCTGCGTGGAGGGCCGCGCCGGCCCGTCCGTCAAGGGAGAGGCCCGGGTCCGGGAGTCCCTGACCCCGCCCACCCGGCAGCCCGGCCGCGCATGCGCGGAGCCGGCCGGTCGGGTAGTTGTCGGCTGGGAAATGGCGGCCGCGGGCTTGGTCGCTATGTCCGCAGCTGCAGACTACGCCGGCCCAGGAGCGTCGGGAGGCAACCTGCCCGGTGTTCCCTGCGGCCCGAGCTCCGGGACGTGTCCCGGTCCCGGCCCGGGCTCGTGGAGCCGCTCCCTCGACCGGGCGCTGGAGGAGGCGGCGGTCACAGGGGTGCTGAGCCTGAGCGGCCGGAAGCTGAGGGAGTTTCCCCGGGGAGCGGCCAACCACGACCTGACGGACACCACCCGCGCGGGTGAGCGGGGCCCCGGCCGGCATTCCTGCCGGCGGAGGCCCTGGGCGCGGCCGGAGCCGCCCGGCCGGTGGGGGGAGGGCTCGAGGGTGGTCACTGGGACCCGGCCCCGAGCGTGGGGCGCGGCGGACGCCGGCATCTCTGGGGGAACCGGCCGGGGACTGATGGGTGGTGGTGGTTTTTCCTCTCCGGGGAAGTTCGGTGCCAAGCCCCGGGTTCTGCAGGCCCCTGCGGATTTGGGAGTCTAACTAGTAAATTGACTTTGTCGCCCCTGATCCGTTTGGCTCTGGATAGAGCGTCGGCCTGCGGACTGAGAGGTCCCGGGTTCGATTCCGGTCCAGGGCGTGTGCCTTGGTTGCGGGCACATCCCCAGTGGGGTGTGTGCTGCAGGAGGCAGCTGGTCGATGTTTCTCTCTTATGGATGTTTCTAACTCTCTGTCCCTCTCCTTTCCTCTCTATAAGAAATCAATAAAATATATTTTTTTAAATCTTTCAAAAAAAAATTGACTTTGCTGAGATTTGGGGTTGTAGCGCGCTCCTAATTAGATCGCAGCCTTGTGGGTCGGTGCACTATCCGGAATCTTTGATCTCGGCGCTGCTGGCGTTGGTTTGAGTTGTTTTTCCGTGGGAACCCGAACGCTGTAACTGTACTTTATCGCCTCCTTCATCTAATTGAGTTTCCATATGCGCTTGTAAAAATAACGAGAGCCCACCTTCAGACTCCCATTACTTATGCGCCCACTGTCCTCATGCCCGCCCCCTCATCCCCCCGAAAACTTTGAAAGAAGACGACTTTGAAAAGATACATAGGGTGCCTATCATATCTGTATTTAATGCGTTTAAAAACAAGCATTATTTTGCTTTGTAGGTACTTTTGAACACAGGAAAGATAAGGAATTAAGATTTTCATACTTGGGAGAGAACAGTGTCTGGGTGACTGAGGTGTTCACCACATTATTCTTCTCTTGTGTTTAAAATATAACTTCCTCACGGGGGTGGGTTAAAAACAGTCTATTCATGTTTTGCACAAATACAAAGGAGGGGAAAAAAATCACACAAGTTTGTATAGTATGGGGTAGTTAAATATTTTATTTCCATATAGTGTTTTGCGACCCAAGAATGTGTCTTATGTTTATTCCATTTTATTTGCCTTATTTTATTTATCTTTATTTTAAAATCTCCAACTTAACACCTTTCTTATGTTTGTGCACTCATTAAAGACTGGTAAATATTACATATGATTCATTCACGATAGAAAGAGAAGCAGAATGTTAAGCTACTTCAGGAAACTTCTTTCCAAAGAAACTTTTGCTCTAGTGTAAAATAGAAGAAATCAAATGCCTACTTATCAAATCTCTTTCTGAAAACAGTTGTACTGAATGTAGTTTGTATTTTTTAGTGAATGACATGGAAGTTAAACTATTGCTAAGGTTAATATAAACAGCCACTTGCCGTTTGCATGTATTCTGATAACATCTAAAATGATCATTTGTATCTCATATCTGATTGTGTTCAGGAGATGGTTAGCATAGTGATTTCATATTGGCATGAGTCATTTCATATTACTACATTAAGCCTGAAGCTAAAGAACAAGTTGATGACAGGAGTTTATCTAGTTCATTCTCTTACTTGCTTTGAAATAATTGTAAGACCAAAGTGTTTTTGCCTTTAGAAATATTTTAACAAAACCCAAGGGTATGTATGAAGACTAATAAGTAATCCCAGTGAATTTTTCTTTGTGCTCTGAATTTTTAATTTATCATTATCCATATTTATTATTTTAATATTTTAATAGTTTATACATAAATCACAATTTTTTGATGGTTGACATTTATCTGATCAAAAAGTATAAAAAAGGGGGGAAAAAGACTGAAGGGTATTTTCTAACCTATTAGGCTAAATTCATTTTAATATGTTAGAAATACCATGTATTAAGTTTAAGAAAGCTTTGGGCCAAAATTGGTTTAGCTCAGTGGATAGAGCATCAGCTGTGGACTGAAGGGTCCCAGGTTCGACTCTGGTCAGGGGCATGTTCCTTGGTTGCGGGCACATCCCCAGTGGGAGGTGTGCAGGAGGCAGCTGATCAATGGTTCTCATCGATGTTTCTAACTCTTTATCCTTCTCTCTTCCTCTCTGTAAAAAATCAATAAAAATATATTAAAAAAAAAAAAAGCTTTGGTAGACCTTGTACAAAAACACTGAATTATTATTATTATTTTTTTCCCAAAAATATAGTTTATTGATTTTTTATAGAGAGGAAGGGAGAGAGATAGCCAGAAACGTCGATGAGAGAGAAACATCCACCAGCCGCCTCCTGCAGCACCCCCCACTGGGGATGTGCCCGCAACCAACGTACATGCCCTTGACAGGAATCGAACCCGGGACCTTTCAGTCCACAGACCGACGCTCTACCACTGAGCCAAACCGGTTTCAGCTGAATTATTATTTTTAATCATATAGTTTGATGTGAATAAACATCATTTATTGAGTTTTCAGTGTTTGCTATTCAATGTTTTAGGTAGGTGTTTTAAAATATATTGCCTTGTTAAATGATTGATAACCAGTGGATTAAATATTATTGCATATGAGCATTTCCTCAGCATTTACAGATGAGGAATCACTCAGAGAAAGACATATAACTAGTATTAGTGATAGAATGTCAGCCTGGTTCCATCTAATTCTTTCCACTATATCATATAGCCTCTTTATGTACAGAAAGGTATTACCATTCCTGTTTTTACAGGTAGTGAAACCAAGGTTTGGAGAGAGAAAATAATTTGCTCAAAGATCTGTAGCTAAAGGCCAGGGAAGGTGATATTAGCTAGGATTTGAGCCTAGTTTGAGGTAATTCCAAAACCATAGTCTTATCTGTTAAAACAGGTACTTAGTTGAAGTTAGACCTAACTATTAGCTAAAGTGTTTTGTTTAGACCCTATGGGAAATTTTAGGCCAAGAAAATTATTTTAATACTGCCACACAGTTCTTTGATAATATATAGAATGCTGTCCTTTAAGAGTTTTTATCCTAAGAAACAGCACGCATTACCCATACCATTTATAAATTGACATGATTAGAATTCATCGTGGAACCTTTTTTGGAGGTTCTCTCCTGTTTATTTAAAAAAGAAGAGCTTTAGGAAAAGGGAGATCTTTACTTGGAATGAGTGACTCAATTCAGTAAACAAGGAAAATCTTAGAAAAAATCACAGAAGACTTTTGGGGGCAGAAATGACGTAGCTTAGATTTGGGTAAGCAGAAATGAAAAGGATAGCCTTTCCAGGCACTGGTGGACATGCAAAAAGTCTTCGAGTCTAGGGCACATCAGTTAATTTTGCCATGCATTCCCCTTTCCTCTGATAACAATACAGTACTCCACTTTTACTAGGGAGTCTGCACACATGAGTGCTAATTCAGAATTTTTATTCACACTATTGAGAAAAAGCCATGCTTTAAAGCCTGTGGATGCTGAGAGAATAGAATGTGATCCTGGAACTTGCCAATAAGTGGAAAGCAGAGCCAAAAGATGGTTCTGATGATAGTGTTGGTATCTTTGGATCTGTATGAATCTTTGGATCAGAGAACGTAAGACCTATCTTTCGCATATGTAGTAGCTGGATTGATGATAGGTTTGGAGTGAGGCTAGTCAACATTCATTTATTCAGCAAACATTTATAGACTAAGGGGTTTTGTCTGGTGTAGATGTACAGAGAAGGACCATGACACCTCCTGCCCTCAAAGATTTAAGGGGTCAATGGAGGAATGAATAAATAGATGTAAAGATTACATGAGTTATCTAATAATAGCGAATCTTTTATGTATTAGGCATATGGTAGGTAATATAGGGAAATAAAAATAGAAGAAGTTCTACTCTTTAAACATAAAATCTAGTAATCTGGTTAGATACTAGTTAGTGATGATAATCCTAATCTATTTGGAAATGAAAAACAGATCGTGTCAGAAAATAGGCCCAGCCTGTGTGTCTGAGTGGTTGAGCATGGATCTGTGGGCCAAGAGATCATGGTTCGATTCCTGGTCAGGCCATATACCAGGGTTGTGGGCTTGATCCCCGGTGTGGGGTGTGCAGGAGGCAGCCAATCAGTGATTACCTCTCTGCATTGATTCTTCTATCTCCCTTTCCCTTCCTCTCTGAAACCAAAAAAAAAAAAATTTTTTTTAAGAAAAAAAATACAAATGCTGATTGAATTGATTTAAAAAAACCAAACAGAATCTGTCAAAGTTTACTGAGCTATTAGAACCTGGATGACTAGGAAACATGGTAATGCTTCTGATAATAACAGTAGCTAACATTTATTGAGCTATTAGCGTGTTCTAGGTATTATACTAAGCTGTACATATAAAACATGCACATATAAAAACCATATGAATTATAAGTACATAAAAATGGAGACAAGATTAATCTGATCAAGGTGGTTATTTTTAGCTAATAAATGACAGAGCTGGGATTCAAATTCAGGTACATCTGATCCTAAAACTTGTTTGTTTTTATCACAAGCCATACTGACAAAGAAGTTTGGTACACATACACATAATTTATTTGGTTTGCATGTTTCCTTTAAAGGGCTGGTGGTAGCACATCTAGTTAATCATGTACAAGAAATAAAGATTTAAATCTGGAGCTTTAAAGTTAGGGCTCCAGCATAAATTTGAGAGAGTCATAATAGTTTATAAGATACTTGGAGAAAGAATGTAGAAAGTGGAAAAGCTGGTCACTGACAACCATGGAATATTCATTTATTTAAAAAGGCAAAAAGAGGAATTAGCCTTTTTCATAACTAGGCCTGTACTAGAATTCAGAGAATCCTAAAAACCAAACGAATCATAATACTCTAAATTATTTTACACATGAGAAGTAGCAGTCTCAAAAAGGTTAAATATGTTTAAGATTATATAGCGATCCTAACAACAAATGGAATGTCCTTATTGTCGACAATAACTGGAGTTATTGTAACTAATGTGCGGAGGTGGGAATAGAGTGGATTTCTG